AAAAAAAAAAAAAAAGGAAGGAAGAAATTAGAGAGGTTGGCATCTGAGGCCAAATAAGCGAGGAGCGCCAGGCCTGTCGGTGAGGTCTGTAGAGCTCTTACCTTCCCCATGGTCTGAAATACCCCGTAATCAGTGGCACAATCTGGCCACAAGAAGCAAAAATGCTGAACAGCTGTGCCTGAAGGTGCAGATGTGGGAGTGGTGTCCAGCCCCTGGCCTCTCGGCAGCCGATAGCATCTCCATTACTGCCATACCACAGCTTTCCTGGGGATAAGGGGAGGCTTCTGGTTCCGTGGGAAATTTCATAAATCGGTCCCAGAATTTAAGTAGCACTCCAGGGAGTCAGGCCCGCTCCACATCCTCGGAGCCAGGTGAAATTGCAGTTCCCCCAACTGGGAAAAACAGTAGCCCTCTCTGCCTCACAGGGGTGGGTTATTGTGAGGAACAAGTAAGATACCATCTGTGAAAGCACCCATAATCACTAAAGCCCATCCAAATGGGAGGGGCAATAGTGACGAACAAGAAGGAGAATAATAATAGAGTTCTGATGCCAACGAGGACAAAAACCTCTGAGGTGGTTTGCTCAAGGTGCAAAAGCAGCAAAATTTGATCTTTTAATGATAAGAACCGTGTGACAGGGCTAATTCTTAAAGCCTTCTCAGACAAAAGTAGCTGGAGTTTAGGCTGAGCCCAGTGTTCTGTGGAATATCCTGATTTAATGATCTTCTACTGAGACCAAAGCCAGATCTACTGACCCAATGAATGCATGAAAATCTTAAGTTGACAATGACAAGGCTTCCGGTATCTTGTAAGTCCTCTTCATGTGAAAGTTCTTTTGAAAACCTCCCTTGTTCCTTACCTCCCCCAACCCCATAGTATATAATCAACCACCCCTCAAAACCCCTGTGCAGCAGCTCTTTCTGCCCACAGGTCCTGTCCCCGTGCTTTAATAAATCACCATTTTGCACCAAAAAAAAAAAAAAAGAAAGGAAAAAAAAAGAATATCAATGTCAACATTACCCAATTACCCACTGAGGATAAGGATAAGGGTAGGCATCTCAAAGGTGGAGATTAAGTCTTGAAAATTAATAAAATGTTACAGACAGCTGGAGAGGAGAAGGAAGGGCATTCCAGAAAGAGGTAGCTGAATGTGCAGAAGTATGAAAGCCAAAAAAAAAAAAAAGCTTGTGGGAGATGAAGGAGAAAGAAGAATGTAGAATGGTATTTTGGCTAGGGGCACCTGGGTGGTTCAGTCAGTTAAGCATCTGCCTTAGGCTCAGGTCATGATCCCGGAGTCCCAGG